CAGAAGAGATAAGATTATGAGTGTCAAGATTAGATTACCAGATTCAGAAGACGGTGTCACATCTATTTTTTTCCTACAAGGGAAGGTGGGTCAGTTTTCTGTTTTATTCTTGACCCTACCTGCCTCTCTTTTCATATTTCTTGCTTTTTATTGAGACCAGTTTGCTTTTCGACACTTTGTTTGCAAATATATTTAAATTTAATTCATACTCATTTCGTTTGGTATTTGTAATGTTTTCAGTTGGCTTGGGTATAAGTTTATCTTGGGATAATGAACAAAGTATTGCTCACTAAATTAACAGGATAAACAAGACTAAGAAGCATTTTTAAGTAAGTTCATGATAACTTGTATGATCTCAAACTTGTACGTTTATATACAAACTGTATATCTAAGTATCACTAAACTAAGTAAGCAAGCCTTACCTATTTATTAGTGATGCACTTTGAAAGGACTTATTAATTAGTTTAAATTGACAAAGCAATAAGAAGATATTTCTATTTAAATATTCAGCAAGCAGGATCACTACAGTGGAGCAATGGAGGTTCCTCAAGGCAAGAGATAGTGTGTCTTTGGCACCCAAACACGTAGACTGGAACCTTAGGAGACCTTTGATAAATGTTTACTGAGTTCATGAATCAATATTCAGATTTCAATGATAAAGGATAAGGATTTGTGCAACACAAAGTTCTCAAATGGCAGTTCGTGGGCCAAATTCAGCTCACAGTCTGGTTTGGCCTGCATATTGTTTTGTTTAGTTTTCATTAAAAAGGTAATAAATTCATTTGTTTCATAATTTTATTTAAACATGGAATACAACTAACTCACTCCCACCTCTGCTGGAGTTTCCATGTCCTCCCAACTTTTCTCAATATAATCCCATTTTCAAGTTCTTGAATATTCTTCCAAAATCTATTTAAATTCTAAAACAGGTGTACACAGTCATGTCCCTTCCTATACAAAGGTAGAAAATTATACACCCTGCATTTTATCCTCCTGTTCTTTTTTCACTTAAAAGTATACCTGAAAATCTTCTTCTCTATCAACTAATAAGTGTAACCCACTGCAACCCACCCATAGAAGACATTTCAGTTCCAGGTAGTTATACTGTCAAAGGCCAAGTGTAAAAGAGGGATACTTTCCCTAGTTTGTTATACAAAAGCAGCTGTGCAGAAATGGGAAAGCCACAACATAGCGGTATGTGTTAACCACAGCGAGCACATCCACATACTAGTTTAATTGAATAACTGCAAATACAGCACCCACAGATGTACACACAAACTCCTACACACATTCATGCCTGGATATGCTAAATCAGTGACCATACTAGGATGTCCAGGTGACAAAAACTCAACACCATCTTTCTCACCTGTGTCTTGCCCCAACTCCCCCCTTTACACTTTCAGGCCCTCCGTATTCAACTTCCCAGAAGTAAAAACCTACTGCATGTAATGTTTCCTAGATCTACCTAATCACAACATTAGGAGCTCTTAAGTGCAGACGCCCAGCCTCACTCCATAGAGATTCTCTGTTTTGAGAATCAGGAAAGTTGGGGAAGACTGTGTTCTAAGATATTGCTAAACACTTTCCCATGCCTGTCTTAAATTACAATCATTCTTATAGGAACACATTGTTATAAGATGTTGTGTACCATATTATGATGTCTCTTCTAACGGATTTTTAAAGTATCTTAAACTTTAAAAATTTAGATTGACAAGTACAAGTGCATATATTTATATAACACATTGAGAGTGCATATACATTGAAGAATGAATCTGGCTAATATGTGCCTTACCACACAGCTATCATTTTTGTGCTGAGAACACTGCATCTTCTCTCTTGGCATTTGTCAAGAATATAGTATATTGTTAACTACAGTCACCATGTTGTATAATAGATCTCTCCCAAACTTATTCCTGACTAAAATTTTGTATTTTTAAACCAACAGCTCTTCCTAATTACTACAGCTCCTAATAAACCATTTGCATTCCACTTCTATGAGATCAATGTTTTCTAGATATCAAATATGAGTGAAGACATGTGGTATTTATCTTTCTGTACCTGGTTTAACATAAAGTCACCTAATTCCATCTATATTACTGCAAATGACAGGATTTCACTGTTATAGTTAAATAATATTCTATCATGTGTATCATATTTTCTTTATCCATTCACTCATTAGTAGATCCTTTAGTGACAGCATATCTTGGCTATTGTGAATAGTGATGCAATGCACATGTGGAAATAGGTTAAGTCTTTTTTTTTTTGGTACGTGGGATCAAACCTTGTGCTTGCCAGGCATGTGTGGTGCCACCGAGCTAAATCACCAACCCAAATAGGTAACTCTTTAACATAGTGATTTTTTAGTAATGGGATGATTGGATAGGTAGGTCTATTTTTTTTTTCTTTTTAGTAACATCCATACTTTTTTCAACAATGGCTATACTAATTTACATTTCCACAGGGTTTAAGAATCCCTTTTTCTCCAAGTCTTTTCCAGTACTTTTCTCTCAAAATATAGCTATTTTAACTGGGGGTGAGATGCCTCACCATGCCTTTGATATTGAGCAATTTTTATATCCTTGTGGCCATTTATATAATATCTCTTGATATAAATCTATTCAAATCAGTCGACTATTTTCAATCAGATTATTTATTTGGTGTCATTTGTTTGAGTTCCTTATATATTCTAGATATCAATCATTTGTCAGGTGAATAGTTTACAAATATTTTCTCTCTTTCTGGAGGTTGTCTCTTCACTTTGTTGCCTGCTTTCTCTGCTGTGCAGAAGTTCCTCAATATGATTTAATATGATTTGTCTATATTTGTTTCTGTTGCCTGTGTTTTAGGGATTTATAAAAAAAAAAAATCTTTGCTTATGCCAATGACTTGAAGTGTTTCTTCCAGTTTTTGTTTTGTTTTTGTTTTTTTTCCTAATAGCTTACTAGTTTCAGGTCTTTAATCTGTTCTGAGTTTATAACTCTTATATGGTAAGAGCTAGGGGTTTAGGCTCATTCTTTTACATATAGATATCCAATTTCCCAACATTGTTTAGAAGAGATTGTCTTTACCCCAATATATGTTGTTCTTGGTGCCTTTGTCATAAATTGGTTGGCTGTAAATACACACACACACACACACACACACACACACACTCATACACACACATCCTCTATTTGCATGTCACTGGATTGTGTGTCTACTTCCATTCCCGTACCATCTTGTTTTGGTTACTATAGCGTTGTACTATATTTTGAAGTCAAGAAATATGATGTCTCCTATTTGATCTTTTCAATTGCTTTGGCTATTCAGGGTCTTTTGTGATTTTAGACAAATTTTAGAATTGTTTCTGCTATTTCTATGAAAAAAATCATTGTTATTTTAATAGATTTTGCAGTGAATTTGCATATTGCTTTGGGTAGTATGAATATTTTAGCAATATTAGTTCTCCCAATCCACGAAAACAGTGTATCCATTTATTTGTCTTTTTGGATTACTTTCATCAATGTTTTATAATTTTCTGTGCAAAAACCTTTCACTTCTTTGGCTAAATTTATTCCTAAGTTGTTCTTTCTTTCTTTTCCTTCTTGTTTTTGTTTGTATTTTGTTTTGTTTTTTGTAGACATAAATGAGATTGTTTCTTGATAGCAAGTGTGTATAGAAGGACTACTGGTTTTTTGTGTGTTTGTATTCTGCAACTATTCTGAATTTGTTCATTAGTTCTAACATTTCTTTTTTTTCTTTTTTTGTCGAGTCTCTAGAGATTTCTGTGTATAAGGTCATGTTATCTGCAAACATGGATCAACTTCTTTTCAAATTTCATTTGTTTCTCTTGCACAGTTACTCTGGCTAGGAGCTCCAATACAGTACTGAACTCCAGTGACTATTTTAAAGAAATCCTCTTTTAGAAAAGTGCTACCTAAAGTTGTTCAGAACAATAAACAAATACGATGTGAATATTTGTTTGGCACTTCAGAAGAGACCACTCTCAGCCAGAGGAAGCAAACCCAGAAGGGATGGCAAAGTTAAAGATAGTCTTTGATGGCACAATTCTAGGGACTTGAGAAAAAAACAAACAAACAAACAAAACTAGCATTTATTTAGGTCTTGCATGTCCGGCATTATACTTAGAACTAGGATTTATATCTTGCATCACAATCTAAGCACAGGCAGGTATGTATTAATTCCTATGTTTTAAAGAAAACAAACCAAGATAGTCATATTTAGATCAAATCTCTTGCTGGCTCCCAAATGGTAGCCAACGTATAAATCTCAAAGACTAAAGAATATTCAAAAACAAATGACACAACTTCCCCTCGGTGCATTTTGGCTTCAGGTCTAATTGCTGAGTTATCTGAACACCATCCCATTTGTGGTAGCTGCCCTCCAAGATGGTTTCCAGGGACCCTGTATTCCCCCTTGCACATTGTATCAGGATTCGTCCCTATAGCCAGTGAAATACAGTAGAAGGAATGGTACGCAACGGGAAAGTCTGGGTCACTCACCCTTGGGAGAGCCCATCGGCACGTGGCAGGGAGACTTGAGCAGTCCTACGCAGATGCCTACGTGGTAAGAAATGTCCTGGAGAGGTGGAGTGAGCCACACTGCAAGCAGTTCCTCTTAGCTCCAGTCAAAGCTTCGGATGCCTGAGTCACGGCCCATACTGTGACGTCAAACTCATGCGACATCAGGTCAGAGCCCCCTGGCCAATCTGCTCCCAACTCTCGGATCCACAGAAATTATAAGATAATGTACATCTTTTGTTTTGAGCCCTTAACTTTTGAAGTAATCTGTTACATATTGTGTATAACTAGTAAAATTTTCTATCATACAGATGAAAAAAGTAGATTTTTTTTTTTTTGTCTCTTCTATGAGCTTTGCTAATACAGAAGGGGGACAAAATGAAGAACTTTTATTATACTTTTTAAACACGATTAACTTTTTACTTTGTTTTAGAAATGACTAGTGCCAAAAATAGGAAAACAAAAATAGCCGGGCAAGATCACTTCAACTACAAAGTGAGGAAAATATTTTTATGAATTTGATGCTTGAATCAGTATGAGTGAAAAATAATCTACCAAGTGGGCAGAAGAAGGGTTTTGTAAATAGCACTATACATTGTTGCCAAACTCTGAGATACATCTTCAGATGACAAACTACTTCAGGAGGCTAAAGATGAAACACATGTTTGCCTACTGGTTGGGCAAACAGACAATGAGGACCATCTGTTAATTACCACCAGAAGACCTGGAGAGAGAAGAAACAAGTGAAACTGCCCAAGGTAGATACTTTTTTTTTTCTTCTTTTCTTTTATTTAGTCTTTCTTTTTCTTTTCTTTCCTTCCCTCCTCCATTCACTCCTTCCCTCCCTCCCTTTCTTTGTGTTATGCTTTGAGAAGACTATAATAATTAGGACTGAAGCAAGTTCATTTAAATGATTATTTTTGATCATCCATATAGAATATTTCTAAGAAAGTAATTAATAACTAAATAGAAATATGGCAAGCAGGTCATAAATACATGAGTAGGCTTCCAGTATGACATACAGATAGTAAATATTATCATAGCACACTCATTTGGGCTTTATTTTTACCAAGTGTTTTATACTTACTTTTATCTTTCATCTATTAAAGCAAAATGGTATAATGAGTGAATATTCCAAGGCAATGTGAAGTACATTGAGATTTCTTTTTGAAAGCATTACAGCTAATCCAGGTCATGTCATACAGACCTTTGGCATTAGTCTTCACTGTAGCAAGTCATTGTTGGGGATGATGGGAGAAGAGGTGGTGAAGGATACTATTTAAAAAGAGTGCTATTCCCCTCTGCCCCTCAAGATCTTCAGGAAAGGTATTCTTAACAGCTTGCTCTAAGTCTTTTCAAAGGACCACAAATAGTGTTGCTTATTTTGTATCTTTATAGCCTAACTCCAAGCTGTCTCCAACTTATCCTACCTGTGAATAACCTACAAGAAGCTGACCATACATGGGCCCCTAGGGTACTTTCCAACAGACAGATCCAAGCCTGGTGTGGTGGTGCATACCTGTAACTCCAGCACTCTGGGAGGCTGAAGCAGGAGGATCACAAGTTCAAGACCAGCCTGGGCAATTTAGGAACTTAGCAAGACTCCATTTCAAAGCGGGGGAGGGTACTGGGGATATAGCTCAGTGTGATAGCCCTATATTCAATCCCCAGTACCATCAAAATAGAAAAAGAAGGAAGAAGAGCAGAAGGAAGAGGAGGAGGAAGAAGAGGAGGGGGAGGAGGAGGATAGGAGAAGGTAAAGGAAGAGGAGGAGGAGGCAGCAGCAACGAGCATATCTACAGCTCCCTATCAAATGAACATCATGTGCATGAGGGAAGCTGTCTGCTCAGCTCTACTCCTGACATTTGTAGGCCTGGGGCAAGAGTACGAAGAGAAGCCCATATTTAAATGATACAAATTAATCAAACACACAGTAAGCTAAAATATGTCCTATCATCCTAACAAATAACTTCATAAAAACAAAGTTCTCCAAATATGAATAAAGTTATGGGTTTTCTATGACTGAAAGTTAGCAAAGCAACTAAACCAACTGAATTATTATTGTATCAGAATTATTTCTGAGTAGTGTGGTCACAGTGATATTTGGATGAGTACTCATGATGTCTATAATTCATAACAGGCTATATATTTATTCATAAAATACATTTTTCTCACCCTCGGTTTATCAAAATTACTAATTATGTTGTTTAGTCAAGATTTTCACATCATTTGTGTTTCACTGACAGGAAATGCCAAATTAGACAACCTTCCCAGGATCAAAATTATTAGTTTTTATTAACTGTATTTAAAGAAACACTTCTGCTGAAAAAGCAGCAACTAGAATTGCCAATAAAGTTCTCCAAGTTATATTTAATTCAGAAGTGAATGTTGACTTTGCATACAATGCTCAAACATTGGAACAGATTTTCACAAGATAAAGAAAGTATCATTCCCAAATTATTATCAAGTACTTTAATTTCATCATAGAGTTTGCTTATCACACACTCCTAAGAGATAGTATCTAGGTTTTTACAGTGTATCTCCAATCTTTTCTTCTTTTTTTGGTACTGGGGATCGGACTCAGGTCCTTGTGCTTGTGATATCTCCAATGTGTGCAATTCTGGAATAGTATTACAAAGCTTAAATAGCACCATGCTGTTCAACTTGTTCAGCTCTTTCTTTGGTTGGAAATATACCTTGATTTCTAATGGTCAGAAAATGGACTTATAAAAATTAGCATGGGGATTTTAAAAATATGAGTCCTCTCCTTTATACTTGAACATTTTATTTCTTCTTTGGGAGGGATTATCACTTTCATTTTATACTACACATAGTTTTATTCTATTTTCTAAGCTATGCTCTTTAAGTTTTAAAAATATTTAAATCCTTTAAAAAGTGAATTAACCAAACAGACCTATTTCTTCTAAGCTTTTACTAATATTAATAGCAAATATGTGAATAAAATATTCAAAATTAATTTCATTTTCTACACAAAGCCACAATTCGCTACTTAAGAAATGTTCTGTTCTTAGCTGCTATAGCACATTTTGAATTTTGTTTAAAATCTAATTGCTTTAATAACATTAGATCAGCACTTCCATTTTATAACCAAGAGTATGTACTAGGTCAAATTTTGTGGTTTTCTTTGGATGTTCCACATTTTGACAGATCCTAAATATATTGTATGTCATGTTTAAATTGTTCCAAAGATTTCATCAGTCCAAGCAGGATTGAAGCCCTGTTTCTCTGTAACAATTTCAAACTTATGTAGCATATACTTAACAACTTTTCATCAAAATTCTGTTCACCTTTGCGGTTATCAATCTTGCTTACTCAAGTAACCCAATCTCTCTCTAAATAATATTTTAAATCAAAGCCTATTATTAAAGTTGTGCACTCATTCTCCCCTCCAGTATAGTTTCCAACATGTTTGATTTGGGGGATACATTCAAACCATAGCATTCCACATCTGGCCTTCTAATATACAAAGTACTTCTCATATACAAAGTATGTTCATTCCATGCCAATAGCCCCAGAGTTTTATTCCAGCACCAACTCAAAAGTCCAATGGTTCATATAAACAAGATATGGATAAGACTCAAGGCATGATTCATTCCAAGGCAAATTCTCTCCAGCTGTGAGCCTGTGAAATCAAAAGAAATTATCAATTTCCAAAATATAATGGTGGGACATGTCCATTCTAGAGGAGAAAAAGGTAAGAGGGACAACTGCTCCCAAGACTAAAACTCAATGAGTAAAACAGTATCAAGTCTTAAAATTCCAGAATAATCTTCCCTGAATCTATGTCCCACTATCCGGGTACACTGGGGGAGGGGCTGGGCCCCCAAGTCCGCAGACTTTGCTGGGCGCATGCCACATGGCACATCTCACAGACTGGAGTTTAGGCCTCCAGCTCTTCCAGGCTGGAGTTCCATGCAGGTATCTCTACCATTCTGGGGTCTCTGTGACAGCCCCTCACCCACAGTTCCACTACACATTGCTCTAGTAGGGGCTCTCTGCTGTGGCTCTGCCCCATTTCAAGTTTCTGCCTGCTCCCCCAAGCTGTCCAAGACATTCTCAGAAATTTAGATGACCGTGGCCCCATAGTTGTCCAACTAGCGTGTGCCTGCAGAATTAGCACCATGTAGACACCACCAAGGCTCAGTGCCTGTGCTCTTTCACGTGGCAGCTGAAGCTGAACCTAGGTCTGTGTGAGCTACAGTGGGGCTCTGTGCTGGAATCCAGGAACAAAGTCCCAGGACAGTGAATGCTAAGGTCCAGCGAGCGCTTCTCCACACCTGGAAACCCTTGCCCTCTAGTCTTCTCTGTGAGTGGAGGAGCTGCCCCAGGGTCTCTGAAACCCCTTCAGGTCTTTGTCCTTTTGCCTTGATGAACAGCCTCTGGTCCCCTTCAATCCCGAGTAATCTCTTTTTCTTCTTTCATTCCACCTTAAATATACAGATTTCAACCAACTTCTTTCAAACCATATAACCTTTGACCTTTACTCCAGTTTCCAATACTCTGTTCCTGAGTTCCATCTAAAATCTTGTCAGCATGGTCTTTGCAGTTCACATTTCTACCAGCCTTCTGGTTACTTACACATAAGTAATCTTGGAGAAGTTCCACACTTTCCTATAGCTGTGTCTCCTCCTCACTAGAATCAACCCTCATTGCTCCAGTTATAAAAATCCAGCTGTGCCTTCTCCTCCAGATTCTTCCAGCTTCTGCTTATTTCCCAGGTTCAAAGCTGCTTCCACATTTTCATGCATTTGTTAAGGCAACAACTCCATTCTTGGTGGCCATTTTCTTAGTTTCTTTTGTGCTGTTATAACAGACTGGGTAACTTATAAACGAGAGGAGTTTCTTTGGCTCAATGTTACACTATGTAAGTATACAAACAACACTGGCTATAATCCACTTTGAATGTTGGTTGTGAAACATGTAACAGGGATAACAACATACTAAGTAGAGAATATAAAAGCTGGCTTTCACAATCTTCTGCTTGACAGAATTTAGAATAAATATTGAAATTTTGGGGTCAGGGGTGTGTGCAGTTCAGTGGTGCAGTTGATGGTTAGCATATGCAGTATAAGGCCCCAGTTTCAATTTCCAGCTTGTGAGGGGTAGGTGAGTGAGGGACCAGGAGGCCAGGGAGGAGGGGGATGGAGGAGGGGAGGGGAAGAAAGGGAAGAGGGAGAGGGAGGAACAAATTTTGCCATGTTCCTAAAATAGAAAAGTATAATCATTAATTTGAATTGAAATGTGTTTTACTAGCAACATTCTTATACTGTCAGAAGGATCTGATATCTCTGTTTCCGAAATCATTAAACATCAAATGTTCCAGTGGATTTCTTTCCCAATTTGCTGATTTTAAAGACATTAATCTTGAAGATAGAATCTACCAAGTGGGTTAGAGTTTCTTTTGTTGTTCTGGGTTATAAAAGTGATCTAAAGTCAATCCTCTTTCATTCTCACTAAGGAAAGAAAGAGCAATTAAGCTTTGATTTAATAGAGTATATAAAGTTACAAAGACTCTTTGGCTGACCTATATAAACTGTGGATTTAATAAGAATAATACTCCTGTTAATTTGCATTACTTTTCACCAGTACTTGAAGCTTTATTAAATAAGAAGTCATCATCTCTTGTTTGCAAATCCTATGAGGGTCATGTTCAGTGAAAGTCTGCTCACTTTCATTGTTTCCATTTGTTTAAATAAAAATTTTAGGGTGAAGGGAGGGCAGGGGAATGGGGAAAAAAATAAGAACCAAGACATATCATGTAAAGGTACAAGATCCCAATGATAAATGTAACTATATTGTTTGCTTTGAATGTACCAATAAACTTAATTGGAAAAACATTTAAAAATAGGGCCGGGGATTTAGCTCAGTGGTGCTGCCACCTTCCTCACAAGTGCCAAGACCCGAGTTCCATCCCAGTACCAAAAAATAAAAAAAATAAATAAAAATTTTATTTTGAATTTAAAATAAACTCAATAATTTTGAATTTTTTTCTATTTTTTAATACCCGGAGTTTTTCTTTTCTGTATTCTTTTAAATTCTGTATTTTTATCCCAGTTCTCCATTTCTTCATTAACACTCATTCTCAATGATCTGAAAGATCCAATAATAAAATGTAGCAATGCATTCTACTTTTTTAAAAGCACTTATAGAAAGAGTATAAAATTTGAATATATTTTAATAAAAATGTAAGTAAATTTAAGTCAGAAATGAAAAAACTTTATTATTTTTCTTTTTAAAATACATAAAATTATTAAAGTTAATATGCAAAGTATAAACTTTAATGCATATCAAATTGTAAAGTTAAGTAACCTTGACATTTTTAGTTTTTGAAATGTAATTAATCTATGCCAGGGATGTAGCTCAGTGGTCCCACTGCCTGCCTTGCAAGCGCAAAGTCCCAAGTTTGATCCCCGGTACCAAAAAAAGAGAAAAAGTAATTAATCCATTACAAATTTTATTATAACATAAAATTATTTGCATTTCTAGCAGTCAGTGTCCATCTGGTTGCCAATATTAAGATCTGGTATCACACTTTAAGCATATTACAACTAGACACAGATATAGACAAATTTATTATTGCAAAATTTCCCTCAGCACTAAACACAACAATTACAAATAATGAGTATGTCTGGAGTGATTCCAGAACCGTGAATTAGTTTGCACCAAGAGAAACAAGAAGATAGATGCTCAGTACCAGTGGGAAATGGAACTTCATTATGCAAATACCTCTTGTTCATGCTGTAAGATGATCTGACAGGTTAATTATCTTTTCTTTACCTGGGTGCTTCTGCAGTTCAAATCCTCCCCGGACTCAAGCACTCTCCTGTTCTCGTGTTGGAAGAAACATAACCCACAGTATCTCATGGCATTTGGATGCATGTGCCTTTCTCTTTAGAAGGCAGTTTAAAAGATATGGAAAAGAATTTTTCCAGGGCCTGATGAGGATCAGACACAAGGTGAATGGTCTGGGACAGCAACGTCTATGATTTTACAATCTTTTATAAATATAGTTAATATAGTTATGATTTGGGGGCCCTCTACAGCACAAGACCCAGCACCTCACAGTCCCAGATCTAAGTATGGTACTTGAATCCACTTGTCTACGTTTCCCCCTCCTCTTTCTTAGTCCACTGCCTCAGTGCACAACAAAACTACTGTCCCAGCATAGCCCAGTTTAAGGTCCTACAAATCACATACTCTTTTAGCTATCTCATGATTTATTGAGAATATGAACTGAAAAGAATTTCTTCAGACTCTCACAGGTTGTAAAAGTTTATTTGTGAGAAGAATTCTCCTACATTCATGCACAGTTTCTGCTACATGGAACACTATGCTTTCTTTTCAGCTCTTTAATTCTTATTTGGATTTGTTCTCAGTATTGACTTCCACAGAAAAGACTTCCTGTACAGCTCCAACTGCAAACAGTCCTGACATAGGATGGGTCAGCTTATATGTTTTGGGCTTTATTGTAATGGAAAAGTGATTTGCATTAAATAGAAAGTGTATTTTGTTTTGAATTTTGATCTTTTCCCAGGTTACCAATACATAGTACACCTCTACATTGGTACTGCACTGCTTTTGGTCAAAATTGGTACTCCATGCATTCTGATGAAGAAATTTTGTCCTGGTATTTGTCTGTTTGGTACTCCACCTGCAAGCTAGAGCTTGCCAATGTTGATTGCTTTGCGACTCATTATCCCTTCCAGCCAAAAGTATTTATTTGGTACTTGTCATTTTGGATACTCATTTCTTCTTCCAAACCAATTAAAGGTGAGTACTAAGGTACTACCATACAAAACTCTGGTGTTGCTGGACTTCAGCGAGGGCCAGACCCCATCAGCTGGGCCACCACAAGGGTAAACAACTGACCTGCTGCTGTGGGCTGCACAGCTAGGCTAAGGCATTCAGTCGGTCAGGTGTATGAAATGCATTGTTGTATTAGGATATTTTAAATTTATGATGAATTTATCACAGCATACCTTCACCATAGGTCTAGCAGCATTTGTAGTTCAGGTACTTACATGTTTCTCTAACTTCCTATTCTATTTAATGGAGTGATGATTTTACTTTTATTTCTGCTATATGATTAGCTTATTTCCCTCTACAGAGAGGAACGGACAAAACGATCCTATCTGAATGTGTTTGGCTCACCATTATAGTGCAGAGCTTAAGCCATGTAGAAGACACACAGGGTTTACCTAAAGAGTTTACCAAGCTTGCTATGGACTAAATGTTTATGCCTTCCCAAAGTCAAAATACTGATGGGTTATCTTTCATATTGATATCTGGAGGTGGGGACTTCTGGAGTCCATTAGATGAGGCACGTGGAGCCCTCAGGAACAGGATTGTGGCTTCAGAAGAACTTCCTCACCCCTCTTCAAAAAGAACTTCCTCACCCCTTCTCACTCCTCCCCACCAGTGAGAAAACCAGGAAATGGACTTCACCGGAATAAGACTATGTGGCACATGGATGTCAGACTTTCAGCCTCCTAAACTGGGAGAAAGAAAGGTATGTTGGATAAGCCAAGCAATCTATGGTATGTAATATGTTGTAGGAGCCCAAAGTGGCCAAGACAGAGACATTTACAAGCATCTTACATTCTATTTACCTTCTTGTTTTTAGTTCATTTTCCACATTGGAAACATTTTTCCAGACTTCTCCAATTCAAATCCCAACAATTATTAAGTGGGAAAAAAAATTTGAAAACCCCATTTGGTATCCTTAACATTCTTTTCTTATTTAGTGAAAAGATAAAACAAAAATTCATAACAAAACAATAAGAGAATTACAGTTAATACACTGTGTATTGCTGTCTTCAGAGTGTAAGACCTAAATCAAAAAGACTTTTCTTAAAAAAAAGAAACACAAATCTTTCTCTTCAACAATTGAGATACACTAGTAGTATAAATGAAACAAATTAGTATATATATATTAAATTATTTCTGAAACAAAGAAATATGTAATTTGGGGAAGTAGTTGAACTTCCCCCTTCTTTCTATGTATCTCTCATAGTTATATATATCTATATATCTATATCTATGTCTATGTCTATATTCCAGTGAATTCACCTCAGATTGTAGAAAAGCCCAGCATGGTAGTGCACACCAGTAATCCAAGCTATCTGGGAGGCTGAGGCAAGAGAATCAGAAAATTAGAGGTCTGCCTGGGGAAGGTAGGGAGACCCTGTCTTAAAATCTAAAAATTATTTTTTAAACGTGTTGGGGATACAGGTCAGTGGAAGAGCACTTGCCTAACATCAGGCCCTGGTTGCCATCCCCAGTGCTGGGGTGGACGGAGCAGGAGAGACTGCAGAAAATATTAACTTGAAAACATTCCTTTCATGTTGGGCATGTTTATTACAGCAACCTTAGAAATAATTTCAGTGGATTAGCAAAAATTTTAAGTGTGGCCAGAGAGCAGGGCCAGTGTAAGCAAAAAATGCATTTTCCCCAAAATCAAACATTTTGAACACTAACATGGGAAACAGAAAGTAAGATGATAGAATTTTTGTAGTGGTTCAGAATTTATTCTCAGCGTGTAGTTTTACCTGGACACTAAGCTTCCAGGGAAACACAAACCAGTGTTTCTGGAAAGTTTCTTTTAAAAAATTTTTTTTTGCATATTTCAACTGCATTACCATGAAATCATTTGTTTATTATAGAATGACTTCCATCCTGGTTCTGCTGAGAACTTGAAAAACTAGAAGAATCAACAAATGATGGCAACATGTCTCTCTTCATTTTCCCACTACCACAATATTTTGCTTCCTGCCTCTTGAGCTTTCTTATACACATTGGCAAGTTATTTGGTCCCTGCTTCTTCACACAATTTTCCTTGTACTTAAACAAATACAGGAAAGCTGGGTTATAAAAATTGGACACTGACTTCACAACCCACAAAACAACTTTTGTTAAACCAAATCAGCAATAATAGTGTTTTGATAGATCTTTTGTCATTTGAGTTCTACATCTATTTTAAGTAACAGCATCAGTAATCAAAAATAGGTAGTCAATTAGGAGAGAGTCTAATGGGGCACCTCATGGGTACCTCACGTTGGTTGGGGGAGGAAATGGGCTGGCTTGGTCTTAAACATTTGAACTTTTTGTTCCCGAAGTATCCCAATGGCAGATGTGAGGAACTGAACGTGCTTCCCCCAAAGTCATAAGATGAAATCCCAACACTGATGTGATAGTATCAGAAAGTGGAGTCTTTGGAAGATGATTATTACAGCCAGCTCTCATGAATTAGGGCCTTTATAGGAACAGCTGAAAAAACCTGCCTCCTCTCCTCCCCACCACGTGAGGATAAGAAAAGATAAGGATCTGTAAACCAGGAAGCAGGCCCTCATCACACAGGGTTTGCTGGTACCTTGGTCTTAGACTTCCCAGGCTCCAAAACTGTGAAAAATAAATGTTTGCTGTTTAAGTCACCCATTCTATGATAATTTGTTGTAGCAGTTTGAACAGACTAAGACAGCAGAAAAGGATCTTATTAAATTCAGTCCGTTGGCAGGTGGAAAAGCATCAGACTAATTACACCCAAAGGATAAAGCACTGGTCTATTGGCTCAACCAGAAATATTACTGAAACTCAGAAGCAGAAAATTTATTAGTGTGTTAAGAATAAATTAGCAAACGTATGACCTAGAATATGACATTTTAACCATGCCAGACGGCATGACCTCCATTTGGAACCAAAGCAATTATCCTGGCATAAAAAGTGTACCATCAAGTTCTAAGAAAATGAGCTTTGGATAGTCTGATTCTGTAGCCTTAGAAACATAGAAGGAAAAAATATATACACTTTTTTCTTTCTTCTCATAGAAAAATATGCCAAGATTGCTTTGAGGACTTTATTCATACAAAATAGCATTAACAAGGTAATATAGTAGAAGGAGAGAGGCTAATTCTTCTGTTTCTTATCAGGTAACAGAATTGAAGAAGTTATTATCTAGCTCATGACTATAACAAATATAACTCAGCAGTTTTATCTGCTTCAAAAAATAGCAGATGCTTCTGATGAGATTCTGTGCATGCTCTCTTTGAAGCAAAAACATTTTTCTTTGTGGTGGACAGAAGCCAAGGAAAGGTTCCTATGGAAGCCCCAACCCAAACCCAGGAATTCCAAATAGCACCACCACCTTGCTTCTCAGTTAGCCTCACCTGGGAAGTAAACGGTTATTAAAGTTGCTCAGGAATTTTCAATGGCAGAATATTTTAACTTTTTGCTTTTACAAAGGATTCATGCAAACTTCACCCCCTCCACTGCCACCCTGGATTATTTGGTTTGGATTATTTTTTAACCGTGGGGAAATGTTTAAGTTAATTTGCTAAGTGCTGACCATGACACAGTATGAGTAAGTCAAAATCCTTTTCTTTAAAACAATAAACTTTGCTGGTATTGCACACAAGAAACAGGTTCTAGAAAGTTGTAGAGTTGCTGTGTTTTGAGCAACTGCTACCTGATCTTAGCAATTGCTTGGGGCAAATACTGGTCAGTCTTGCTGCAGTATTTTCCAGTCAGTGTCAAGTTGGGGGATTTTTGCTTTAGTAAACATTTTTGCCTCTAGATCTGGGGATGGAGCTCAGTGATACGGCACTTTCCCAGCATGAATAAGGCCTGGGTTCAATTTTCAGGGCTGGAAAAAAAACCTCCCTGGACTGAACAATAATAATTCTGTGGTTTGTTAGCAGTTTCCGTTCTTGGCTGGAATTACTGTGAAATAAAGGAAAGTCTGTGCTTATTTTGTAACTGTATTCATAATGTGTTATATGCTAGATTTTTTCATTAGTCATATTTTATTAGGACACAAGGAAAATAATTTCTATACTATTTAATTAAGTACTCATACCTGTGAAGATAAAATTGGAAACAAAATTTCACCTCCTTATCATATATTTTATCCCTACTCCTCTTATTCTCTCATTTAACTGCACTATCATAGAAAATAAGAATCTAAGTTTATCTCATAACACTGCAATGTCCTTGAAAATTTTCATGACCTCTATTTTGGGTTATACCTTCAAAACTTTTAAATACTAAATAATCGTATTTTTTTTCCTTTCTTTCTTTCTTTCTTTCTTTCTCTCTCTCTCTCTCTCTCTTTCTCTCTTTCTCTCTTTCTCTCTTTCTCTCTTTCTTTCTTTCTTTCTTTCTTTCTTTTGGTACCAGGAATCAAATTCAGTACCTTGCGCTTGATAGGTAGGTGGCAGAACCATGGAGCTAAATCCCCAGCCCAATAACTGTATGTTTCTCCACACCCAATCTTCCCATTACTGTTCTTGTTCTATGGCCTACAAATTCACAAGTTTGGGGCAGAAAGCAGCAAGAAGAAGAAAACATGTCTCAGAGGTTTTAAAGGCAAGAGAGATTTGGAAACTTCAAATCTCCCACCAGCCTTGAGATGGCTGCTGGTCTGGTAGTATTAATTTATTAATTAAGATTGTAAATTTGATCCAAGTTAAGGGAGGAGGACTAAATAGCTTTCATGTGTGACATGTCAAAGTGAAACTCTAGATTGTCATTAGCAAAGTGAAACCAAGGACATAGTTTTCATAAAAAAATGATGCCCTTCACCCTAACTCCAAAAGAACTGTTTGCCAAAAGCCACCATAAATCCATCTCAATATTGACCTCTTATATCCAGGCTTCCCAGAAGTGGTTAAAACACTTTCTAGCTTTTGTAGAACATAGCTTCCACTCTGCTCACCATCAACAGCTGCACAAGCACTGTGGAAGACATGTCAGACACATCTGCAGGAAAGGAGAACATCTGTTTTGTCTCCTTTCCCCTGCCAGGCAGTTTGGGCTACATGTGACAGTCTCCAGGGCATGGTTACCACACAGAGCCAAATGATACTCAATTATTCCCAGTTAATCAAACATCTGCCTGTGCATTGCTGTGAAAGCATTTATAGATATAGTTAACAGCTACAATGAGGTGACTTCAAGTAAATCAGAGTACCCTTGATAATGTGGGTTGCTCATGCAACCAGTTGAAGGCCTTAAAAACAAACAAAACCAAACAAACAAAAAAAGCTTCCAAGCAAAGAAAGATTTCTACCTTAAAATGGAAACAATTCCTGCTAGAGCTATTGGCTGGCCAGCCTGCTCTGCAAATGCTAGACTTGAAAGCCCACACAATGGCCGGAGTCCCTTCCTTAAAATAGACCTCGGTGTAGAGATGCAGTATAGGTACTGGCTCGACTCCTCTGGAGAACCTGACCAGTATAGAATCTTCTTCCATTTCTGCCCCTTCTTCGTGGACTGTACATTGTGAATTAAAAAGAGCCATGGATACACACAAGCCTGTTCATGTTGGAGAACTACACTTTGTATTTGGGAGGATTCCTGGAGAAAACACAAACGCAGCCTTCTCTCCGGTATGTGCATACATGGTAGACCACTATGTAAGGTGGCTTTACTATAATACTTTTGTCTTATTTGAAATACTTAGTTGTATTTGCACTGTAGGCAAGATCTCAAAATTCTCACTCAAATTTTTGGTACATGTTCATTATAGAAGCTGGATTTCTTTTATTATTGTTTTAGGAACCCATAATCTTTAATAATATGACATGTATTTCACCATCTTTTTATTCTATCCGAATAGCGCTGATATATAGATGTATTTGACATAATTATATTTATTATATTATATA